CATCTTCACATGGAGATACCCAACCATCTGGTGTGTGAGATACACACTGGATCACCATGACATCATGCTTGAATCAGTAAAACTATTTCCTGGTTGAGAACGCTAAAAATCTTAGTGTTCAAAATCCCCTATATTTCTTTTTCTGATCTTGAACCCAAGGTATTTGTGGTTCCAGAATCATAAACTCATGCCAAAGAATGCCAAATTGTGGTTTTATATTCCAAAACCAGACGTAACACAGCCAAACCACCAAAAGAACATTCCTTAAAAGGAAAAGTAACACTATTTATCTGTATTTAGAACAGATTAGCTTTGGGTGGACTGTACATCGGTATTGCCTGGTCTGAAAAGAAAATTCATCAACCAAGAAAAAAGTTTTGCCTGTAGGATATGTTGCTTGAATTGTGGGAACAGGTGGTGTCACTCCATTGACATTGGGCCCACTAAGTTGCACGACGTGAGGGCCTGGCATTGCATAGCCTTGAACTGAGGTGTACCCGTGACTGCCAGGAAGGGGCTGCCCCAATGGCCCAACAGGGTAGACAGCTGCATTAACTGTCCCTGGTACCCCATATATCTGAAGGTATTGCTGACCAATATAAGGACTATATGCTCCCTGCAAAACAGAAGATGAAAACATGCAAAAGTTGAAATTCAGCTTTGTAGGACTGACCAAACAATCTTGTAAAATTTCTTTCCCTACAAAAAGTGACTTTAGAAGATGATTGTGAATCTATAATTCTTCAACCTGTGGGTAGATGTATTCAGGACCATAAGTTGTGTACCTGCACAAAAAGAAAAAACATTTTTTTGATAAATGAATGGTAATTTATTCAGACATAATAAGATGATGATACAAAAACAGACTGCCCACCCGAGGAGAGGCACAAGCTGGTACCTCTCGAAAAAAAAAAAGAAAAAACATTTCATTATCTGAGTATTTTGTTTATGGATTTTTCTATTAGTTTCTTGGGCACAAATATTAACCCATTTGGATGAGGAGCTTGTGGAACTTAGATAATGTTACAAGATAAAGGATACATGTAACAGTCCTGAAATGATTATGCAATAATGACCCAGGTTTACCAACTGCACATTTATCAAATGTGCTTGACCTATCAAGCTCATTCAACCAATATGCCATCTCTTGTACCATATATGGCTGGAAGATATGTTTGACCAGGTGGTCCAATGACCAACTAATCAATCCATGAGTCAGTTCACTGATTAAAAGTATGGATATGATGTAAGCAAAAGAAACTCTCACGAAAGCATAATGATTCTAGGACTATTACTTCCTTTATATATCAGTCAAAACATGCATAAATAAGTCTGTAATGATGCTGCAGACCACAAAAAGGGTATCGCCATGTGTCTTGCAAGCTCCCAAGGCCCATGAAACTTTGAAAACAGGGGATGCATCCATGTTAGACAGTGCTGACATGGAGAAAGCCCACATAATGAAAAGATCTATATGAGTTGTATTATGCCCTTTCAGGATATATAATAGGAACTACCACATGAAACAAAATATACTAAAAAGTGCATCTATAGATGCCAAAGTAAAAAGATGTAATATTTACAAAGCTGGTCTTAAAAGAAAGGATTATTCTATAACTAGTCTTAGGATTTCCAGTATGTCATCCATGTATTGTACCCTCCATATGGCAACCACATGCCGGGAAACAACATTAACACACAACTCAGGTACAGTATCAAGACAGTTGCGTCCAGTATCAACACTAATCAGACAGTTCATGAATTTGGATTTCGAACTGGATACTTATTATTCAGGACCATACCATATAGAGCTGATTCAGACAATCTCAAAGTCAGATGGCAGATTTAGGACCATTGCATAAGACCATCAGCGGAAGAAAAAACTCACCCATATGGAGGATATGCAAATCCTTGTTGGTAGCTGAAAGAAAGTGGTTGTCGATAACTGGGGCTTCCAACATAAGCCCCTCGGGGTGTCTGTACACTTCCAAAGTAGGGAGTCGCTGATCTTGGACGTCCTATGTGAAATGAGAAACAAGGAGCACAGTACATTAGTACCATGGAGTGCAAACTGCTAAGGTGCTATTGTAACTTGAGTCAACACAAAGGATGGAGACCGCAATAGAAAGAAAATGAGAATGAAAGTGATCTCTTGATTGCCCAACTTTTGCAAGATAACAAATATTTGATTTACAAAATCAAAACTGATACTGGAAGATCATTTAAATAATTACTTATAGAAATAGAAAACATAGCTTTGCATCCTTAATAACTTGTGATAGGAATACAGAAAGCATCAAAGTCCAAGATGCTCATAGGTTCACATTCCACCATTAGCATAGTAGCACTACTTGGGGATCTCATCACTGCCCAACTTGAATGCATCAGATCATCTGAAACATCAAATTTATTGCACCACTTCAGATGCCAGGTGTGGCTACCCGACCTGGAGGGAGGGATGGAATGGAGTATGGAGGAGTTGGAGTCGCCACCTAAATGTTTGGGAATTCAGGAATTTAGGAAAACCCAGGAATTTTCAAGAAAAACATTTTTTCTTTTCTTGGTGACTCGTAGCCCAAAGGGGGATGAGATTCTTAGGGTCTGGGGACCAAGGTACGGTGTGGGAAGGTGGGTCGGGTAGCCACACCAAGGAAAGTGGTGGATTAAAGAAAAAGTAGACAAGACATGCTGGGGTCATCCAATAAGTATTTTTTTGTTCATCAAAAAATAAGTTTGTTTTATTTGGCTTGGGGTATTTATTAGGTGGTTACCTCTCCTACAGGTCAATATTCTGTACAGATGGTGGCTTACAACTTCAGGCACCATGCTATTGTTAAATGAACAACCATTTACATGAATTTTTTCCTATAAAATATTAAAAATTAAGAAACACACAATGCTACCAAGTACCAACGAGATAAGAAGTAGAGATGAGATACATAATTTGGAGCCGACCGAGTCTCTAAACCACCGTGGATGAAATGGAGAGGTGCATTTGGAGTGCTGTGTGATAGAAGAATGCCAATCAGGTTTAAAGAAAAATTTTATAGGATGTGTAAGGTTAGTAATGTTGCATGGATCAGAATGTTGGGTAGTCAAAAAAGCAACATGTCCAAAAATGCTTTGGAGAAGCAGATGCTTTGAATAGATTACAAAATGAGGAAATCTAGGAATAGCTCTAGAATAGGATATAAAATCAGGAAATGCAGACTTTGATGGTTTGGGCATGTGAATAGAATCAATAAGAAGTGATTTGATACAAGTTGAAGGGTCTAGAAGAGCCAAGGGCAGGACAAAAAGGATTTGGATTGAAATCTTGAGAAAATGATAAAACATTGAGATATTGAGAAATGATTTGAGGGCTCACAACTTAACAATGACCATGACTATTGATATAGTGCATTGGTGGAAGGGGGTTTGTATGGCCAACCTATATAGATGGGATAGATAATACATCTTTGTTGAGTAGAAATTTGTGGTAGTACCTAAGGTTAGGGCTGCAACTTGGAATAACTTGGGTTGGGAAGTTGTTAAATTTTCAATGGGCCTGGACCCTAACCCAAGCCCAGTGTAGTTGAAATTCTTCAAATTGGGCAACCCAACTTGGAGCCCTACCTAAGGTACACACCAGTGTTTTAAAAGGCATAGGAGGTGTATGCTTGGAGGTGCGTCTGGGCGAGGTTCCCCCAAAACGCCCAGAAGTATTGATGCCTTTGAGATGTATGCCTCAGGTGCAAGAGGTATATGCCTCATATACCTTGAGGTGTGCTAGAGTTGTATGCCTCATCTCATGTGTCTCACACATGCCTCACATAGAAAGACAGAAAAAAGAAAAGAAATGAAAGAAAAGGAAAAGAAAAAGGAAAAAAGAGAAAAGAAAGAAAATAAAAGGGAAGGGAAGGGAAGAGAAGGAGTAAAGAATATTTAGGATGGTTACTGATCTAAAAAAAAGTTTAGGCTGGGGGGCTTTGCCCCTAGATCCTCCTACCCCCCAAAATTCCCCTTCCTCTTTTTCCCCCTCCTTCCTCCTCATCCCCCTCCCCTCCTCTTAAGGGGCCTTACGCCTCTTATGTTTTGAACTACGCCTCATGCTTCTAGGTAGTGGAATGCCTTGCGTCACGCCTTTATGTTTTAAAACATTGGTACACACACACACACACACACATCTCAGCCTTAACTCAACTATTAGGGGTTGTATAAGAGACAAATTACAAAGAAGACTAAGATTACCAAGAGGTCTTTCTTCTCTTTTTATTTCTTTTTCTTTACTTTTTTTTTCTTTTTGAAAAGGGGCAGAAAACAATTGACACATGAAATGATCTTAATTTCCTTTCCTTTTCTTGTGAATGGCAGTGATTGTCAAGATTCCCACCATTGACCATCTTTTATCAAAAGGAATGAAATTGGAAAACAATCAGTGTTGTATGGTTTGGAACCTGAGTCAGTCTCCCACCTGCTGATTCAATGCTCTTATTGTTATAGTGTGGGGACCCATTGTTTAAAGCTGTTTAACAGCGGCTTACAGCTGCTGATAAAAGGTGCTTACTATCCTTGTGGCCTAGGTAAGGTTTCAACCCTCAGGGAATTCTATGGAAGCTAGTGCCTCCTTCTATTTGCTGGTTGATATGAAGTGAATGAAATAAACGAATATCCAAAGGTGAGGCTAGGGCCTTGGAAAATATACCAGGGAAGAATGAGATCTGTTATTCATTGGTCCAGCTGATCCAAGGAGTTTAGAGGACTGAAATATCAACACTTTTGTAACAATTTGGAGCAGATTGTTTTTTATGTTAATTTCCAAGTTTTAAAATGGTGTTTTTGGGTTGGAATCTCTTTTTATATATGCTTTCTAGAAATCCTTGATGTATATAAGGGTTGAGGGATTCTCCCCCACTTTTTGAAATATAATACCATTATTTATACAAAAAAAAAGGATTGGTGGGAGCTCTTGTTGCTCCTACATTTGCACTAGAGGCATTGATCTCCTACTGTCCCATTGGCAGACCCTGGTGTATTATGAGAAAAGTGAACAACTTAATCTTGAGACACTGATCTCCTACTGTCCCATTGGCAAACCCTGGTGTATTATGAAAAAAGTGAACAACTTAATCGTGTAAACCGAATATGAAGATTATGTTTGGCTACTAAGATGGGAGAAGAATCTGGGGGGAAGTAATTTCGAGAGGCAAAGAGGGTGGAGTAGCCAATTTCCTGCATGAAATAATCTCTAGGTGTACTTATATTCAATTATATACAGAAAGTGCAACTCTATTGGAACTTCTAATTCCAATACTGCTGAAGAAAAATCACATAAGCCATTGTTCAACCCTGGCACCTCCCTAAAGAGAAACAAAATATCACATGCAAAAAAAGCAAGAAAAGAAAATAAAGGTAATAGAAATCAGGATTGCATGCTTGAACTTTAAGGTCCAGCGACAAGAGCTCGGATATCCAACACAAAAACAAAGAGAGTTTAATCCCAGGGCATACATTTCAATCAAGACTCTTCTGCCTTTGTAAGAGCGGCAATATTAGTACACATTAGGCACAATTTACCAACTAGACCAGAATTGCCAAGGTTCCATAGAGCATCTCAGATGACATGTTTTCAGTTCATGGAAGAAACGAAATTTTATAAAGGCACGTCAAAGTGGATAAATTAGAAGTTCAAATAGTCCTTACATATTAATGGAATGTTCAGTAAGTAGGAAAAAAATAAGATAGTCAAGATACCGTAAGGTATAAATGGCCTAGGCCGCCCAAGAGAAGCCAAATTACAATTCGCCCTTCTACCATCTATAACCGGGGTTGGATCAGCACAGGCCCTCCTTGCAGATTCTGGATCACGGAAAGTCACCTAAACCCTCCATGCAAATCAACCGCAAGGATAAACCAAGTCATCTCTCTCGTCAGTATAAAAAAAGAGAAGCACTAAAATATAATATCATTCATCTCTTCTTCAATGCCCGAAATCACAGAGGAAAAAGAATAAGGAAAATTACTGTTTCTGCAGTTTCAGAAAACTTAACCCAAGACAAGAAATACTCACAAAACCATAGCCTTTCGATCTCCCTGTATTCTTGTCGGTGATCACGACTGCCTCGAGAATCTCTCCAAACTGCTCGAAATAACGACGCATAGTCTCGCTTTGCGTCTCCCATGCCAATCCGCCAACAAAGACCTTGGTGTATGTGGTATCTCCAAAAGGGGAATTCAAGAATTGAAACCCGGAATTCAAACTCGATCCTGATCCCGAACCAGAACCCGGGATCGCTATAAAAGCCATGGAAGTCCAGCAAAGATAACCTTGTTCGATGAACCCAGAAAGCAGATTCTGCTAAATTTGATCCAATTCAAGGAGATTGATTAAGTTGACTCAATTAACACTGAACCTCAGCTAAGACCAAGATGCCCTAGAAAGAACTAGATGTCGAAATAAACAGCCGAAAGGCAATTGAATTTAAATAAAGGAGGTCAAATTACGAAAACCCAGAAAATAGAATTTACGAAAACTCGATAGAAGTCGAAGGTGAGATCAGGTGACACTGTGGTCGACCTGGTAAGCACTAGGGCTCATAAACCCCATAAAACCCCTAAATTTGAGAAGGAATGGAGAAGAATTAGGTGAAAAGGGAGATGGGTGCGCTTCAGTTGGCTGGAACCTGACATGGGCTTCGAGAAAAAGCTCAAAAGCTGATCATGGAGAGCTGTATATAAGAACCTTGGGGAAATTTAACAACAGAAAAGGAGGGATATCTTTTCTCCTTGAAATGGAAGAGAGTCATGATTTTCAGAGGAGAGAGAAAGGAGGAGTAAAAGAGAAAATTAAAAATAAAAGTCGAGGGATTCTCATACAAGCAGGCAGCGAAGCAATACCGCACACAGGGTCCGAACGGACGGGAGTGTGGGCCCTTTTTCCCCTCTCTCTAAACTCTTAAGTCTAAACCCTAATTTCCAATTCTTGACCTAAAACACCCCTCATTTTCAATTAAACCCTAAAAGGCTAAAATTTTCTGCTTTTTCTAGTTTTGTATCCTTCCCATGGTTAGTGGGGTGACCTGCTCTGCCTATTCTGTGATTATTTTAGCAATTGGGCTATGTATAGTTTAGATTTAGATTTCACAATAAACAAATTTTTTATTATTTTTGACGACAATAAAAAAGATAAAATATAAAAATATTCTTTGAAGTTTTTGACAATCATAAAAATCTCCCCTATAGTTTTACTTTAACAAAAACCTCCCTTAAATTTTTCAAAAAATTTGATAAAAACCTACTTTCCGTCATTGACCCAACGGAAAATGTTTAACTTATGCATAAAACTTTTTCAAATACCCATTTTACCCTTTTGTAAAATGGGTGCTGAAATAACTACTGGTGAAGAATGGATTACACCAATCAATAGGTCAACTCTCTTCTTCAGTCCAAGGAGACCCTTGAGTCAGAGATCTCTTGCTCGGCAGCCTAGAACCAAACATTGATGGCCGAGAAGAAACTCTTTGAAGATGAGATGATAGCTATTGAGATCGAGCAATGCCTAACTCTGGTTTTCGTCTCTTCTCAACTCCACCAAGCAGAGCGGCTTAAGAACCAAATTTGGAGAGTGAAAGAACGAGTAAGCGTCGAGGGTTGCCTTCAAAGCTAAGATGGAAGAGAAATGTCAGAAATGAGGAGAGAGTTGTGGAGATGAAGTTGACACGACAGCAAGAGAAGATCATAATGGTTCCTACCACTGTACAAAAGCCTTACTACCTTCCTTGGTTTTCCCATTGATGTCTTGCTGAACTCAGCGCCATACTTTGTGATAGGAATAAAACCAATGACCCATCCTCCCACCCTATTGTCACTGGTGACTCCTTTGTCACGCCATCAAGCAATGAGCCATCAGAGTGCCAATCGCGTGCCTTCATGGTGTCAACATGTGTATCATGGGTGGGCTTTGCTTGTATTTTGTAAGGGGGACCGCCAATGGCGTTATTGTAATTACTTAATATGTTTTTTCGTTATTTTGATGTTTCATTTTGTCACTCCCCCAAAAGCTTAACGTACTCTTTGAGGGGAGGTAGGTAGTCGAGTGAGCTCATAAGCGTGTAAAGGTTAAGCATGAGATCCCTCGACATTGTACTGTATGCTTGTGCTTACCACTGATTAATGCAATACAAATAGCCTTTTGCTAATTCGTGTGCCATCTTGTTGCCTTTTTGTGTGTGTTTGCTTTGTTTCGTAGGCTTACTCGCCCATTTCGAGTGCCGCACGGGGCCCCAACGATTACCCCCGTGACAGTTGGTATCAGAGCAGGAGCTCCTACACACACTCTAGACCTTGTCTTCGTCCCTACATCAACMCAATGAAGAGCAATCAGGGCATTGCCGATGACACACCGCATGGGCGGCTTCAATCCCACGACACTAATGACGCTCCACTTGACAAACCTACCAAGACACAAGCCCCAAAGGGGCGTACAAC